ATATATATATATATATATATATATATGTGTGTGTGTGTGTGAGTTGTATAACTTCATATCTGATACTAATAGTAATAACTTAAGTTATATAGTATTAATGTCATTATTCATCCATCAAACAAAAATATGTCAAAATTATAAAATTTATACCAGTGAGTAATACTAATATAAAGAATATAATATATTTTAAAGTTTAAGCAAAACCAAAAGTAGGCTTTACTAGCAGTAATAATTGTTTAGTAAGTACTATTATTATTTGCATCTGGTAGTAATGAAGTCTCGTTAGGGCTAAGAGTAATAATGAATTCTAATTTGTAGTAAAGTCAGTTTGATTTAACATTCCTTACCAGACAAAAGTAAACTTATAATGATATTAACATTAGTTTTTGTTTTAAACAAGAGACAAAAAGATGATTTTAATAACATTCATTAGTTCTTAATCTAACTGTTATGTTATTAATATTTCATGATTTGGATCTAAACATTTGTTGTGTTGATGAAGCAGTCCAATACATGAAAAAAGAAACATTCTATACAAATTTAACATGTTTTTCATATTTCAAACCTGTTATTTATTCTACAGAGTACAGTTATCATTCCTGTAGCAGCAGGTAGTGATTTACCTTAAGAGGTTTTAAAAGTTTAAGCCATATTAATACAGGCCCACTGGTAATTAGTAATTAGATATTATGTTTGGTTGTTGTGTATTTCCATAAAAAGTAGCTAACATTCTACCAGATGCATAGGGAATGGCTTAAAGCAGAGGTTTGTGTTAAATTAAAGAACTGTGTGACACATCAAGTGAACTGTCCTGGATGGTCTTTATCAGGTGCTAGAGTCCATATCAAGGTCTATGGACACCGTGTGCCATATCATTTCATTTTATAATGACATTTAATGTCAATGTCACCAATGTAAGTGTTCACTCACGTGATATAGACACAGTTGATGGTTTTTTGATGTAAAAAAATCATTCCCATTGAACTACAGAAAAAAAAGTATTTTTGGAAAATCAAAACAGAAATAAAAATGGGATCAGAAAAATAAGACAAAACTGACAGAATATTTTATAGGTGGCATTAGTATAAACCATATTTTTTCAATTATATTTATGCTCTCTCTATGCATGTTTGTATATATATATATACACACACACATGTAAGCTGTATTTAGTTTCTGTATTACTACCCACTAGACGATTTGTTTCAGGGACATTACTAAAAATATGAGCAGTAGAAGTACCAAATTGATGTGTTACAGCATTCATTTATAGAAAATTTTAATTCTGTTATACACAACATGGTCACAAGTAAATAGACATCACCTTTTAAGAAAAAATGAAAATTTTCAGTCATATTCACATGAATTGATATATTTATAATTTAATTAATATCTAGTAGATCTTCCTTGTTGATCCTTTGGGGCATCGTGAGAATCATCTCGTCAATTTTTGATTGTGGGATTTTCACCCACTCTTGCTTCAAAACTTGAAGTAGATCGCTCTTCGAAGTTGGTTTTTTTGGTTGTTTCTTGACTTGC